CATCTTCTGCTGCATCACCCACTTATCAGGAGCCACTTACTATATCTCCCTCCCCTCTCTCAAATTCATCTGAAATATGTATATATATTTCAAAAAAATCCAGTGCAAACCTGACACAGTGATAATTTTAAAAGCTATGCTGCTCATGTCAAATTATTCAACATCTGTCTTCATGTTCCCACAAAAATTAGCATAGGATGGTGGTTTCTGATGACACCTATAGTGAAATATTTTGACTTCTACCAGCAAGTTGCAAACAACCTGTCAAGAGGATAATGTCGGTTTTCTAGTACTGCATATTAAAGCCAATTGAGGGCTTATATGGTGTGTGAAGCTACTGACCTGACCTAAAAACAGAGGCCTTAGTGTCACAGAAGGGTGAATCTGACACACTACAGCTGGAGAACAGCAAGGCATACTGAAGCACAGGGCTGGACAGATTTAATGCCTTGACCTTGAAGAGCTGCTGAAGAACTCTGCAGATCTTGGACCCACCCAGCCCTTCAATGAGACTATTTCTATAGCCCTCCAGTTACAAAACTCATTCCTGTAACCAAAAGGCTACAGCCTAAGCCAACACAGATTTAAAGACTGGACAACAAGGAGAAATGGCTGAGCACAAATGGTGTGTGTATATATACACACATATACACATGCACATTTATAAAAATATATATATACATACACAGATATACATGGTTTGGAGGACCACTGTGCTCATACAGTACATTTAGCAAACAGGATCAGCCAAGTCGTGGCTCACAGGAGCCCGCTCCTCCGCTAGCAATCTGCTTACCCATTTCTGATGGCATAAGGTGTGCTGGGGTAACAGCAAGATAGCTGAAGAGCTCTGTGCCTGGACTGCTGTCCGGCTGGAAAAACAGCTAGAGCCAAAGGCAGGGGAGAGGGACTGAGCCAGGTCACCAAGCTCAAGGTTAACATTCGAGTGTGTCTGTGCCCCCAGAAACTGGCAGCGAAAGACAGGCACGCACACAGGTTGCAGGAGGGTGTGAGGCATCCTGCAGTGAAAACTCTAAGAGGGTAGGGTTTACTTTACAGGTAAAAGGAGCAGGAAACAAATCATGTCACACGTACATGAAATGAAAAAGTGTGGATGTTTATGGCCTAAACCCAGGATATGTTTTACCATGACACTCCTCCATCGCAGGCGCAAGAAAACATTCTTCCACTAGATTTTTTTGGCTGCCTGTAGTGGCATCTCACACGTGATTCAGTGTGATGGTGTCTCTTTAAAGAAAGAGATTTACTGGGTCATTTATTCCCCACCTCAGAGGCCAGGGCAGGACTACACTGTATTGGAAGTGCTTCAGCCCCACCAGTTTCAAGTGCACGAAGTACTGCAGCCCATCCAGCCCCTCTGATCATGGTGCCAGGCAGCTTTCCCTGCTGCCCAGCCTAAACCTTCCTTTTGTTCCCTTTCCATTACCTTGCCATAGCCCCTCATCACACAGTAATGACCATTCCTGAAATGCCTTTTCTGCAGGTGAATTATGTGAGGCAGGCGACAAAACATCCCTGTCTTTTATTCAGCCTGAAAGGCTGCTGCTGATCAGCTGGACTATGCTAGCCGCAAGACAACCCAGAAATGTTAATTATATACTGCACAAGGAGTAAGCAAAGCAGCAGCCCTCTGCACGCTCTGAAGCAGAGCTATGCAAGTCCTGAAGTCTGCAAGGCTGACTGGGAACCAAGAGGCATGCTCTTCCCTGTGGAAACACTCCCTGTTCTCCCCTATCAGTCTAATTTGTAGCCTTTAAGTGTTGATAACTCCAAGCCTGGAAAGGCAAGTCCCCTTTCTCCTCACTTCTTCCTCCCTCCTCCCAAATTCTGACATTTCCTAGAGATCTATTACAGCTTGCTCCTCATCTTGACCAGCAGCATTAATGCACCAGGATTCTAAGACACATGCAGTTTGGGAAACGGAGTACCACAAAAGGCTAATAAAAGTTGCCTCTTGGCAGTCTGCTGAACCACCTTCCGTATCAGGCCAGCCCCGTCTTATCGCAACAAACAAGGCAGAAAAGATGGGATCAGCTAATGAGAAGAGGTCTTCAGACACACTTCAATCATTACAACAAATGCCAATTTATATAACAAGCCTCTCCAGGTAGCAGGCTAAAAGCACCTTGACTCCTAATTAAATTGCACCTCCATTGCAAATGCTCCTTTCCCAGAAACCTCCTTACACACATTTTATTTATACCATTCATCTCAATAAACCTCTCCAACAACTCTGCTCTTCTAGACAGAGGTCTTTTGTGCACATCCATGTGGCTGTATTATTTAAAGGGTACATCACATGGATACTTTATCTAGTTTAATCTGATTTAATCTCAGCTGATTTACTAAAGTGAAATATATTTATAGACCCATATAGATGACTCTTGCCATCTCCATCACCATAAATAAATATTCAAAAGCAGGAAAGCAGATCTGAAACATGATACTTGAGTTCTCATAATTTCTATATTAAGTGCCACATGAGACTGACATTCACAACACAGCACTCTCAAGTACAGATTAAAGCTATGGTGAGAGACCAACATTTAGGACAAACCAAAGTGGAGCAAGGCAGCAGGACTAGTTTCTAATCCTGCTTTATTTACCCTTGCAAATATAACTGTATCAGTCCAGCTCTGCTTGAACCATCAACAACAGCAACCTCGCATCCAAACGAACAGGTCCAGCTGCTCAAGGCATGAAATCGGTGCGGGGTAGTGGACGGAAGGTAGGATAGGGAAAGGCAATATGAAAACTATTAGTCACCGTAGAAGTTTGCAGTGTGCCGATTCCACGAGACACTGCCCTGGGCTGCACTCAGCGACAGCTGCGTATTAAGGCTCCTGACGGTCTCAACAGATAGTTTGAAGAGGTAGGGGAGGGGAGAGGAGGGAAGAGACTGGATTTCTCCTTTGCGTACTGAAGTAAGAGAATAGATAGTAGTGTACCATTTTGGCTTAAAAGGATGCCTTCATCTTAGTGCATGCCTATATCTGTGCTTTCTTTTGTACACAGCTCCTCCAACCTCTCTCTGAGAGAAAAAGACAAAAACATCAGTAAGTTATTCTGAAGATCTAATTTAGCAGCAACTCTATCAAATGCAAGTTCACTGAAATGGATGAAAAAACACAACGGGCAACCTTCTAAAGCACACTTAAGCAAAAACAGTCTGATCCTCTTGCTACCATCCTGAGCAGAGAGGCCATTCTATAGCAAGTGTCAGCTACTCAGCAGCAAGCACGCTAAAACAAAATAACAGAAGTTCGACTAGAAGCAGATTACCTGTTTTACAGGATTAAATAACCTGCCCTGACCAGGTTTCTGTACCACAAACTCATTCTACTCATCTTTCCAGCCTTCAGAGGGTCCTACAGTTTTCCTCTGGACATGCAAACGGGAAAAAACACATATACTGGGAGGAAGAAAGAAAGAAAGAAAGAAAGAAAAAATAAAAGGGAAGCTAAACATCCTTCATTTAAAATGCTTATTTTACAAAAAGGACCCAAACTCAAATTAACATCCCAGCCTTTAAGGAGAAAGGCGGAATTGTTTCCATTAAAGAAATACATCATTAAAAAGTGACCTACAAAGACTTACCCATAGTCAGTGAGACTGAACTGATCTTTGCCAGAGCTCACACAAGAGACTGGCTGCGTGCTGTTAAAAAAAAAGGGGGAGCGGGGGTGGCTAGATTCTCTCACTGGGGTCTCTCTTCAGAGCTCAGAGAGCTTGGCTTGTTAGAGGCAGAGGCATGCCTTCCAGAAGGACTTTACAGCAACGCACAACTGAGTTGTAAGCCAAGATAAAGCCGGCTTGTTATGAGAGGCAAGTCTTGTGGGTTGCTTTTATTTATTTTTTCCCAGTGTATTGGAAATGCAGATCTTGCAAAGCAAGAATTAAGAGAGGGCTGGGAGAGGGAAAGGGGGGCTGCACGGCTGGCTGAAGTAAATCCCGGCTGTTCTCCCAGCGCAGGGCTTGTGCTCGGCGGGGGGCAGGGGTGCCGTCCCCAGCCTCTGCCTCCTGCCCTCCTCTCTGCCCTCGGGAGCTGAGGAGGGGCTGCGGGAGCCAGACCTCTCGGGGGGACTCCCCAGCTTGCCGTTTGCTACTCTGCCTGAAAACAAGGAGGGGAAGTAAGCACCATAACTGCCATAATAATAATAATGAAAGAGGAAAGAAAAGGAAAACAAACAAACAAACAAAAAAAAAAAAATCAAGCAGCTCCACATCAGCTCTATCACAGACCATCACCCACCCCACGATCTTAAGAAGGAAATCAGCGGCGAAGTTCAGGAGGGTGCAAAAACAGCCTGACCCCCCTCGCCCGCCGCGGGAGGGGAGGGAGCCCGGCGGGGCTCGCCGTGGGGTGTGTGTGTGGGGGGGGGGGGGAGTCGGGGAGCGGCAGCGAGGGAGACCCCCCCCCCCCGCCCCGGCAGCGAGCCCGGGGAGGCGGCGGCCGCCCCCCTCTCGGCTTCCCCGGGCCGGTGCCGCTGCGAGGGGGCCAACCCGCAAGGGGAGGCGAGCGACCCTCCGTCCTCCCCCCCCCCCCCCCTCGCCCCAAAGAAACCGCAACTCGGAGGTGCTCTCCGCGTTTCGCACGCCGGCATCGGCGTGGCGTCCCCACGCGAGGCGGGTGGGGGAGAGGCGAGGCAGGGCCGGGGTTCGGGGGGGGGGGGGGCGCTCCCCGCGGCAGCTCTCGGGGCCCCGGGCGGTCCCTGGGTGCCGGCTCGTCGGGCTCCTCTATCCGAGCCGGCCCGGGGTTACGGCCGGGAATTACGAAGTAGCTACAGGCGCTGGAAGCCCTCTTGCTGCATAAATCTCACCGCTCAGGCTGCGACGAGCTTCGCCAGCATCATTTACTTTCTCCTGCAGGTGCTTTTTAACTTTGATCCCACCGCCGCCGCCGTGTGCGCCCTCACCCGCCCCCCCCCAATCCCCCCCCCCCTCGCCCCTTAAACAGCGACCGCGACAACGTCGCTTACCGTAAACCCCTTGTCCCCTGCTGTACACCGGTACCAGAGACAAGAACAAAACCCAGATCATCTCCATCTTCACGGCAGAGCCTTCATCGTCGGCGAAGAAAAGCAGCCAAAACAGCCCAGGCAGCATCCGGCGGGGGAGCCAGGAGCAAGCGAAAACCTCCCGAAACGCCGCCCCATACGCTCCGCGCCGGGCACCGGCGCCCCTGAGGCGGAGGAAGGGACCCTCCACACCGGGGCCGCCTGGGGATAAAATTTAAAAAGAAAGAAAGGGGAAAAAAAAAAAAAAAAAAAAAAAAAAAAAAAAAAAAAAAAAAAAAAAAAGAAAGCGAGGGAAGGAGGCAGGGAGGGCAGGAAAGCGGAGCGCCGCTTCCCGCTTCCCCTCGCCAGGTTGCTCGAGGATCTCCAGGAAAACGGGGCTGCTGCTCCCCACTCGGGGTACGGGAAAGGGCAGCCCGGGGGCAGCGGGCAGGGGCAGGGCTCGGGCCAGCCCAGCGCTGCTCCCCGGCCCCTGCGCCAAAAGGGGGTTTCTTTGTTCAGCGGGAGCCGCCGAGCGCTGCCCGAACTCCGGGGCTGCCCGAAGTGCTGCTGCCAACTGGGGCCAACTTGGGAGAGTCCTCGCCCTCCCTGCTCCCGACGAGACTCTGTCCGCAGCCCCGGGAGCAAACGGGGAGAAGGAGAAGGAGGTGGAGAAAAAAAAAAAAAGGGGGGGGTGGGGGGGGGAAGCGAGGGTGGGGGGTAGGGGCCAGCTGCTGAAAGGCGGAGGGAGGGATAGGTGATTCTCTCTCCTCTTTTCCAGATCTTCTGGGGAGGGGATTGTTGTAATTAATCAAATCCAGGAAGGATTTTTTTTTTTTTTTTTTTTTTTTTAAAGCGGCTCCCAAGAGCTCCCCCAGCTGCACTGCATCGCCCCAGCCAGCCTGAAGAGAGAAGCAAACGAGGATCAGACAGACCATGCACCCTCGTTCCGCCTGCAGCTCAGCCCGGCTCTCCTCGTCTCCTCCTCAGCCTGCCACGTCTTTCTCCCTTCAAAACTTTCCCTGGTGTTGTGTGAGGAGCTCGGGAGGGTGCTTCGCCTCCCCTGCTTGCCTGCTCCGCCCGCCTCGCAGGTGATCTGCGGCTGCAGAGAGGTGTCCGCGTCGCTCTCCCCCGACGGCTGCCGGAGCTCCTGGTGGGGAATAACAGGGGCTGCGGCTGGAAGGGAGCCGACGAGGAGGGACAAGAAGCTGGAGAAAGTTGCGTTACTCCTGCTAGACGCTGGCTGAAAATCGCTTGGCAGGTCCCTGCCCCACCGCTTTTTCCCGAAGCGCCAAAATCTCCTGCAAAAGTTGCCGGGAGCCTCCCCGCTCCCCAGCCGGCCCCGGGGCTCTCCGCTCCGACGGGGCGTCCGGGGGGCACCGCGCTGCGCCCCACCAGCCGGGCTGGCCCGGGGCCGCCTCACCCCTCCCTGTCTGCGGCTCTGCCGGGCGCGCCGTATTTTCTTCCCCCTTTGGCTTTCCAGGTTTTTTTCCCCTCCCCTCTTCACCATTTCATTCCCCTTCGGTTAAAAAAAAAAAAAAAAAAAAAAAAAAAGGAGCCAATTAAAGCAGCCGTGCTCGGAAGAGCCCTGCCTCCTGTCCAATTCTACAAGCCTCCCCTCGCCCCGGCCCAATTAGAGGCAACACCGCAGGGCTGGGGAGAAAAAGGGACTTGCTTCGGGCGGAGAGATCAGCCGTCAGCCCGGGGTCCCTCCATCCTCAGGACACTCGCGGCAAGGTCGGCTTCTCCCGGGTGGGACCTGAGATGCGAAAGAAGCCCAGGGGCAGCGGGGGTGCTGGGGGGGCCTCCTGGCTTGCATGGGCAGCGAGCCGGGGTGGGGGGCAGCGCAGGTTGCCGGAGCGGGAGGGGGTGTCTCTTGTGCCGGCTCTAGCTAGTGTCAGCAAAGTTTTTGGGGCCCCCACGAGTAGGTTGCAAGCTGGCGGGTCTGCCTTGTGCATGCTGCTCGGGGACGGGGGCGGTCCCGGTGGGGCGGGGGTTCTGTGCAGGCCCCCCGGCCCGCTGCGTGGCTGTGGGGACCGGCGACACCCGGTGGGACTGCCGGCCCCGGGCTGTGCTGATGCTCGTAGATAAAGCCCGGAGCGGGGGGAGCTGTGCGTTTCCCCCCGCGCAGAGCCCGGGGCGAGACCCCCGGCCGGGAGGAGGAAGGAGATGCTGCACCACCACCACCCCCGGGCCCCGGCACCGGGGGGGGCTGCGCCAGCGCCCCGGGAGCGCCGGTGCGGAGCCCTGCTTTGCCATCCCCATCGCCAGCTGCTTTGCTAGCGGGAAAAAAAAATGCTGCTTCGGGGGGGAGCTTAGTCACGCTCGCCCCGCGGGACTCCGCAGCCGGCGAGCCCACCCGTGCCTGGCTCGGGGCCTTCGCCGTAAAGCGGAGCCGTGGAAACCCCCTCTTAGAGCGGGGCGTTCCCCTCCGTGGGAGCCGGAGGGCTCCGGCACGCAGCTCTCCCAGGGGAGGGCTGATGCGCCCCGTCCCTCGGCGACACCCGGTCCCCTCCGCCTCTTCCCCAGGGCTGGTCCCTGCGTGCCCTCCCGCTTCGGCCACGCGTGGGCTTGGCGGCCCCATGGCGCTCCGTTGCTGCGCGCTGCCCACGCGTGCTCCCGGCCCTGCCCCGCGGCTCCGCATCCGTGTCCGCTCGCCGCGGAAGGTGCCGGTGCCCGGAGGGAGCGCGGGTGGAAAGACGTACCCCTCCCTGCAGGCACCGAGTCGCCGTGTGAACAAGTCACTCCCTGGATTAAAATGTAATTAAAAATAAAAAAAGAAATATTGAGAGATATGGCCCAGAGAGCGGCTGGCAGCTCAGTCATGCCATAACAAACAAGCAATTAATAGATACAGCCGCTAATGAGTAAGCAGTTATTCCTATTGTAAACGGTGAGAAGAGCCACAGAGGCGTTCCGGACAGGGCAGCTTCCCCCCACGGCCGGCACCCCCACGCAGGGCGGGCGGGCCTCCCGCCGCCCCCTGTTCCATCACTTGTCAGGATGCCGCCAGTGTAAAACTGCTTGGTTTGGTTTGGTTTGTTTTTTTTTTTGTTTTTTTTTTTTTTTGTTTTGTTTTGTTTTTTTTTTTGTGTGTGTTTTGTTTTGGTTTTTTTTTTTTTTTTCCCTCTAACTGAGCTAAGGGAACAGTTGCCAAGAAACTGCGGGCTTCACACTCTGAGGTGTCCTTTCCAAAGACGACGGCATGGAGCCGGCACTTAGGAAAGCACCTGATGTGAGCGAGTTTATTTTTTAGTACAATAAACCCTTATCTGAGCAGGATTTAATCCTTCCTGCAGTGGGTGGTGGCAACATTAGTAAAGGGTGTATAGGTAGAAGGAGGCAGCCAGCACTAGGAGGACAAGGGGAGCAGCCCCTTTGCCAGGGAAAGGGGAGAAGCAGGAGCTGATGATGATGAGGCAAAGTAAAATTGTCCACATCTGCAAGAATCAGGCTGAAAGCAGCACGAGGAAATGAGACAAAAATATGTTTGCAGATCCAGGAAACTTCATGGTGATAAAAAAGCCATGGAGACATGAGTCTTGTTTTTTTCTACTCTATAAGGATATTTATGGGGCATTTTGTAACCTTTCCTTTTTTTTTTTTTTTTTTTTTCTTCCCCAGGGATTCTCTTTAGATTATGGAATAATGCATCAGAGTTTGAATGAGTATGAAAGTATGAATTACATATATGGATAACAATTCTAAAAAAAATAAATCCCCAAAATGTGTGTTCCACACCCCTTTTTTTGCGTTAACATTTGATACACATGCTCATATCTCACTGGCACAAATTCTTATGAATAATTAATTTCAAAGTAAACTGCCAAAGTATGTGAAACAACTCAGATTTCTCTTAGCAAATAAAAATATTTGTGCCAAAAGTACCTTTGAACTAATCCAATTAGGGAACAGTAAAAAAAACCTAAGGAGAAACTGTTTGTGAACAGTCCATTGAATTAAAGGGAAAAATGATAGGCTAATAAATAATTAGAAAGAACTGACATGTGTCCATGGATATTCTGAGTGGAAAAAAATACTGCCAAAACCCAAGTATGTAACTGCATTTGCTAAATAAGGTAATTAATAATTATTGGTTGAGGCCTAATAAATCATAACATGCATAACTGTGGTGTCTCCAATGGGTGACAGCCAGCCGGCACTCCCATGCACACTCGTTAAGCAATCTACTTGTCACAGGAAACCATACCCTGTACTGGTTCTACTTGGCAAAAAGCAAAGATGAGAGGTGTCTTTCCTCCCCCCAGTCTGTTTCTGCAGAACATATTTGTTCCGTCTTTCCAACTGGGAGTCAGTGTCTTCAGTCCCTTCTCAAGACCCCACTTGTCAAATGAGTCCTGTCTCTTTGAAATATTTATACATACTACATCACCTATATTTCACAGCTACGTTAAGAGGTAGACAGTCTCTGGGACAGATGTGGTGTTCAAAGAGAGCAAATCATATTTGGCACAATGTCACCAGGCAAGAGACGATTGAAGAACTGTGTGAGGCCAAGGTCCAGTTGCAAGAACAGTAATTCTCTTTGTGTCAATGTTTTCATGCTATAGTCTGGTGCAGACTGTCATTCATTGCTTTTCTGGGATGATGCAGCTATCTCTGGAACCCAGTGATCTCTTGAGTTTGTAGCCTGACATTTCTGTCACCTCTTTCATGTTCATTTTCTTCTCAGCACCACGTCCAAGAACGTCTCCAGGATCCCTGAAGTTTATCTCTTCTGGTCTCCCTTCCCTCCCTACACACACACACACACACACAGAAGTGAGTACAGCTCAGCTGGAAGCTTTGCTGCAGTGTTTCCCTTGAAAATAGGGAGTAGAAATAGAAAGTAAGAAGGGAAAAGGATCACAATGGGGCACCTTAAAGGCAATGGGCAAAACCAGGGTGACTCCAAACGGTGCAAGAGAGGTGACAGTTGAGAAGGGTGAAGCCAGAGGACTCTCCAGCACTGCAGCAGAGGTATTAGCAGGGAGATGGGAAAACAAGGGAATTCTAACCTCAGCACAGGTCTGCATCAAGGAGCTGAGCACACAGGGTTGCTCCTGCAATGCTGCTGGGCTGGGCTGAGCTGGGGCAGGCTCTGCAACAGCACAGTACAGGGGCAGGGGTCCAGCCCGAGGCAGCGAGGCAGCCGAAGAGGGGGAGCTGGGAAAGGCAAGGGAGAGCCAGTGGGTGTGGGGAGGGGGGGCCCCGTCCGACTGCTATACACAAACTGGGGGCAACAGCACCAGGTACTCTACAAAGC